AACACCTTCCTCGACCATTTATCTGTAAGTCTGGTTATGTATGGAAACTAGTAATATCGTCTTGCCCTGTCCCATACTTTCTAGGTTGCTGATAATGAGACTCCCATAATTTTCAATAGATGAGGTTCAAGTTGGATAGCCAAGATGATGCAACCAGACAAGCTTGCACCCATGTTTTCAAGTCTGCTCTGCGACAGTATCGGTATAACTTGAGGAAAACTCACTTTGAAGGCAAGGCTAACAGTGAACTTTCCCAAACATCTCCAGTGGAAAATATATCAGATGAAGACTGGAGGGGCCTTGTTAAACACTGGTCTGATCTGAAGTATCAGGTACATTATATATATGTGATCAGATCACATGTTGAAGTCCTATTGACGCATGTGCCACACAGATCTATCTTCTTGTAGGTGAACTGTTCAAAGAACAAGGCCAATCGTACGAAAGTGAAATTCCAACAGACGACAGGATCTCGTAGCTATATTGCACACTGCGTGGCTCTTGTAATTAGCTGCTGTTTCACTCTTTTCGCTGTACCATATTATCAGATCTATATTGACTTGTTCGAAATGAAGAGGAAAGCCCGCAAGGACCAAAAAGTACCTGAACCAAATATTGTGGAAATCTTCAAGGACTGTCACACCAGCAAGAAGAAGGGCATGACTACACCAGTCAAAGCCGCTGCTGTAAGTCCATAATCCTCATGCCTTTTAACTACTACTTACTCTGACTTGTGCCTTGAACTGCATGGTTTGCAGCCAATGTCTATTACTCTTTTCAATTTTATACACAATTGTCTTAGCGTATCATTGCACCTTACAAGGTTTAAAAGGGAGGAGTGATGTTCCTTTGATCTTGACCCGTAATCTAGTTCTGTGCTGGACTTGCCCACACAATGTTACAATTGCATGTTTGTCTGTTCTCAGTTGTTTTGTGATATGAATGATGTCATACTATGCTTACCGTATTATAAACTTTGTCTCTTTATCCTTAGCCCGCAATACAATGTGAAGAAATAGACAATACATTAGCGATGGTACATGGTCATATGTTTGGAACCTGGTTTTATTATGTACTTTGCAATAAGATACAACTAATATTTTACATGGGTTCACTAGAATAAGTTCTGTATATAGACCAAAGCTATTTTGTTTGGTTTTGCTGCCTCCTTAATATCTTCTGTTCTGGTACTACTAATGTAAAACCTCAACTTTTCAGCGAGCTATGGAAAAAATGGTGGAACCGCCACCTTCTAAAGGTGGCGAGGCAACTATAACCGCAATGTCAGCTCTTGCTGCAGTGGGTCAGTACCTTCCACTAACAGTGCCAAAAGCATGTTCCCGCGTAATACTGGGTTGGTTGTTAAGGCAATATCATCCAAACTACCTCATGATCAAGATATGCAAGCTCAAAGCAATGTTGTATCTGCGCTCCAGACACAAGTCCATTCCCTAACAGAGGCCCTTTGTGAAACAAGGAGAAACATCACTCAATGTCGTCAAGATATGCATGGTTTTGAAACCAGGCTATCAGACATTTGCTATGTTGTTCAGGAGCCTAGGAGAAATGAAGGCGAGGGTTATGGTGCTCCATCGGACAATACAACATGAAAACGTAACAGCCAGGTCAAATGAACCGAGCTTCTGAACTTCTGGTGGTGCATTTATCTGCTAGACCGTTAAGTTTTATGCCAACCTTCCTTTTGTTATATAGTTGCAATTTGTTTTGGTGCGATACAAAATTTATTCTTAATGTGCAGCCACCGGCCGAAGAAAACAGCAAGCCATTTTTGTATAGTGTAGGGTGTTCCCTATATTTGCACTGGTGGCAATCTTTGATGCCGAGTGGATGTAATCTGTGCAATCGCCTTAATAGCCTAGCATTAGTTTTGGCCTTATTTATTTCCTAGTCTTCTTTTCCCTGGTTTGCTAGTGGCCGCAACTACCCATGGGCCATATACGGGCCGTAGGATCCATGGGTCTCCTACAGGCCGTCGATAAATGGGCCTGTAATCGGTGAGCCTCGGGCCGTCGATAAATGGGCCTGTAATCGGTGGGCCTCGGGCCGTCGGATAAATGGGTCTACATGGGCCGTAATCGGGCGTAATTGGTATCGGCCCAGAACGGTAACGGGCCGTTAACAGGCCGTAGGACTGCAAAAGCTTAATTCTGTCACAGGCATAACAGGTCATTAATGGGCCAGAATATAGGACGAGCTGGCCAGAAACGAGCCGACTCTTGCCATGGGCCGAATTTGGCCCATTAGGGTAACATGCCAGTAATGGGCCGACTCTTGCCATGGGCCAAATTTGGCCCATTTGGGGAACATGCCAGTAACGGGCCGACTCTTGCCATGGGCCAAATTTGGCCCATTAGGGGAACATGCCAGTAATGGGCTGGAAGTAATCGAGGGCCGAAAAGGAGCCCAAGAACGTATGGGCCGTCAATAGGCCGAAAGCTAACACGGGCTGGAAACGGCCCATGTAAATCACGGGCCATTAACGGGTACAAAGAAAATTACTGTTCATTATGGGCTAGAGTCACCGTGGGCCTGTAAAGTGCCGAAAGATACGAAGGCCTCATATGGGCCGAAAGACGTCGTGGGCCATACATGGGCCGAAAGTGAAATGGGCTGGTGTTATATTCGATGGCCCACATGACGTTGTTAGGCCGATTTCCTTTAGTGCCTAACGGGCCGTGAGTTAACGGGCCGTAAAATGGGCTATTTGCGAAGAGACCGTTAACAGGCTTTTCATGGGCCAGCCCGTTAACTTTTGACCAAGTCAAACGGGCCAGCTTTGTAAGCTAAATGGGCCAGTGGTGGGTCGTGGCATGTGTCGACATATCATAGGCGCCTATTTGACCCACTGACGAGCTGACACGTGTTTCGTCCGGCCAATAAGAATTTTACACGTGGAAATTTTCCATTGGTCGGGGCTGTTAACGGGTTATCAGATCCAAAACCCGACCCGATAGCTTAACGGCGTTCCGTTACGGTGGATGACACGTGTCGGTCACCCTTGACGAAAGCACTTCTGTGACGCACGATTTATCATCATGGAAGTGGACACTTCCGTGATGATAATTTTGGTAATGTCATGGAACACTTCTATAATAGCACAGGTATGATTATCTTGATTCTGTCATAAATTTGTCATGGATGTACATGCATGACAAAAAATGTGACCTACTGTGACAAACACGTATCATCACGGAAGTGTACTTTTTTTGTAGTGAGCCCATGCGGGTCCTAGCCCAGATTCTCTAGGTACCAACATAACAACCAACATGACGGGAGTTTCGTCACTCGTCGAGCATTACCCAAGTGGGAATTCTCATCGCTTGACTGTGGACTGAAGGAACATGTTTCACTTGGATGCTCTTGACTCAGATAGGAAGCAACTCAATGGCCAGGAGCATTAAAGGAGGCATTCCGAGGCCTTCAAGCATGGCATTACCATAGCTCTATATCACCAGTTTCTAGTAATAACTCATATGTAATTTGATAGAATTAAATGCACCCATAACATAGGAGGCCAGGGGTAGCAAACTCTATATAAGCTCCCCTATCGGCACCGGGTTACGGGTTCAGAACCTCCGTGCTCACATACGCAATAATACTCTCTCTGGATAACAGGACTAGGGTTTTTGCCTCCACCACGAGGGGCCTGAACTAGTATACTTCCTTTGAGGCATTGCTGGGGTATTGTTGTCCTCTCCTCCACTCGGGAGAGCTCCGTGGAGAACCTCATATATGTGGATTGGCCGATGATGATGCTTCTGCATCGCTTCACTTTTAAGAGCATCTTCTTTGGAGCCAGCATTGGGAGGAGGGACTAGTGCTTGTCCATGGCCGTCGGTGGCTTGTGTGGCAATGATTATTTGGATGTACGATGGTGGGGTCACAACAGGGCTGCAGTAATCAACTATTCCGCGTGTTCACGGGCTCGCCGTGGTCCATTTGTTGCATGGCGTCAAAGTTGGACGACGTCGAGGTTCATGCGACGATGATGACAAGCGATGGGTGACATCCTAGGTGATCCTTTGCGGTTCTAGTCTTTCATAGTTCTCCGTCGTAGATCAATCCCGGATCCGAAGAGGCCCTATTCCTGACATGCATCTGATTGATCTGCATGTGACTTCTTGCGACCTTTGTGGTTCGAGCTATGTCGGCGGTCACAATGTGAAGCGGAGTCACTTGCTTGTGGAAAAGTGGTGGCGATGACGCCAACATGCAACCTCGACGATGTTTTTATTGTGGTGGTGTGTGTGATTTATACTTTTGTGTGTATTATCAGAGGGTTGCGACGGGTTTTGCTCGGTATTACCGGGCAACTCTCTTATTCTTAGTCAATATAAATGACAAGTCTTTGCCTCGTTTAAAAAGTTGAGAATTTGCTCTCAGGCGTAAGTAGAGGATCGTGTGGGATTATGAGAGGGATATCTTTTTTGCAAAATAAAGTTATCAATTTTCTGCAAATTGTTCATAATACTAATCACTTGATTTGTAAGCGATGCTTACTGCAGTGTATGCAGATAAGGGATATTCTGGTGTCTAGGTGCATGCACTTAGAGATGGTACATGTGATATGTTTAGCCAGTTTGTATTGTTGTCTAGCAATATGGTTTGTGATGCATAAATTTTAAAACATGTAATTTCTATCGTGGTTTTTAGTTCCTTGATACTTCTTTTTACATTTCTTATAAGGATTGATGACATGCACTAAGGATGGTTATATGTATCACTTGATGCAAAGACTGGGTACTTAATCAATTTCATTTATAATACTGTTTACTCACGATAGATAGATCCGTAATGAAGATGATAAAAAATTATGGGACATGTTATGATATTCCATAAACACTAGAACTATAAATGCCAACAAAAAGTTAAGCTGACAATTCTGAAGTCAAAACTTTAATTCCTACACATCTATTGAAGAAAAGCAAATTGGCAAGATTGAACACCACATACACAACAGAACCACTAGGTAGATTATATTAGTTGAGAACGGCACATGTCCTCCTGATCTCCCCCTCGCTGCCGGCGAGCACGTCAGCCCTCCCCATGTTCACCATAGATACACCAAAGTCCTTAAGGAATCTCTTCTCCGAGCTCATGTAACCGTACACGAGCATTTTTGTAGCACCATTACTCAGCAAGGCCTCGTCAGAGTGGAAAAGGCCCTTGTTCTCTTTGACGAGGCGGTAGTAGGTCGAGTCGAAAGTCGTCGAGCGACCGGGCACCATTTGCACCTCAGTCACGTTGTCATCGGGACTAGTGCACTGTTGCTTTAGTGTTGCCGCGTACGCCTTGTCCAGGGTAGGGTCCATGTCATCTTCAGCCGTGAAATTACGTAGCCTCTTCTCTAAAGATGGGCAGTGTGAATTCCCTAGCGCGTGGGCACCTGATCATACGCGAGTTTAATTAACTGAAACAAATAATATACAAGGAGTATATAACTAAATTGATGATTTCCACTAAATTAATTCTCTCACCGTAGAACCATATCACATCAATATGCAACCATGCACGAGAAAGAATTTCTATTGTATTATGCTACTTATACTCACCATGATTATACTCCATAAATCATATGTATTTTCATTTTCAGTGTTTATATTATTTCCAAATAATCATGGTACTTATATTAACCATGATCAAATTCCATAAATCATGTGTATTTTCATTTCCATTTTCCATATTATTTCCAAATTATCATGCTACAACAAATTCCATAAATCATATGTATTTTTATTTCCAGTTTTCATATCATTTCCAAATTATCATGCTACTTATATTCACCATGATCAAATTCCATAAACCATACTCCCTCTGAATCAAAATATAAGTCATTTTTGTAGTTTAAGTTGAACTGCAAAAACATCATATATTTTGGTGTAGATGTAGTATGTATATTCGTTTTCAGTTTTCATATTATTTCTAAATTATCATTCTCCATACAAACAAATCTCATAGAATACGGTGCAACCATTTCCCGCAGCAAAACACGAGATATCATCTACCATGTCCCCTCAATATCAAAGGTCAAACCATGCACGGGAAAAGTTCACCTCAAAAGTCAATCATGCATGGAAAAGGCTCATCCGTTGACATTCTGTTATGCTACTTCTGTTACATAGATATTTTAAAGTTTTTTTTGCAAGAACACGCATGAGGTTTGCGTGTCTTTTCATTAAGAGAGAGGAATCGATTCATACAATTGTTACAAGTATGGGCACACACGTGAAGAGGTCGCCCATCCATAATCCGCAAGGCGACCATGCAACTACTCGCTAACAAAACAATGAATCATATGTATTTTCAGTTCCAATTCTTATATTGTTAATCTAAATATTCCTTCTATGTAACAAAAGCTAATCGAAATATATTGTACCAGAAAATGTTTTCGCAGTAATGTGGGCATTTTCTAATTCACTCAAGTTAAAAATGTAGTGGGGTCGTGAGTAGTACATACAATCGGGATGCAGCATTTCTACGGTCCGTGCCTAAAAAAAAAATAGGGATGCAACATTTCTGCTCCCGGGATCAGCTGCACCCGCGCTGGCGAAAAAAATAAAACAAATACTAGAAAATAATTTTTTTTGTGTGGTAGATAATTTAATGCGTGAGGTCCGCTTCAAATTTCAACTTATTTGAACATTTGAACCGCTCTCAGTAAAAAAGACAAATCCGAGGTCTATAAAAAAGTTTACTGTTCACGCAAGGTTCTGACCCGACTTGTCTTTTTTGCTGAGAACTGCTCATATATCCAAATAAGTTGAAATTTGAAGCGGACCTCACGCATCAAATTATCTACCACACCAAAAAAACATTGATTTTTTAAATTTTCCTAGTATTTGTTTTGATTTTTTTCGGACCGGGAGGAGATGAGCTTGGGCAGCGAGTTGGATTTCCGATACAATTGGGGCAACCGTAAAGAACTTTTGAGTACACGGTTAATGCAACTTGTCCTAGTATAGAAGACTCGCAAGATTCGAAAATAGAAACTGCCTAGTGGTCAAGAATTACTACCTGACAGAACAACAAGATCCTTGAGTCCAAGGCCCTTGGACTTAAACCTCTTGATGAGCTTCTGGATTTCATCAAAGGAATCCGGCAACTCCTCCGCCGCCTCCTTGGCGCTCGACACGCGGCCGTCTCGCCGGCCGGTCTCCACCTTGTACAAGCTGCCGCCCTCGCTCCATTCTCCCTTGGTCACCACCTTGGTAGCCTGGTTAATGGGACAAACACAGCAACGCTCAAACCCCAAGTCAACGCTAGCTTTGATTGATGCATTTTTTTTTTTTTGGACTTGCAGCTTTGATGCACTCTGAATGGAGGCAAAGAGGCTTAAATGTGTACCAGCGAGACTGCGTCTCTGGCAGCGACGGCGAGGATGTCCGCGCAGGAGACGGTGCCCGGGCACTTCTCCTCCAGCTTCTCCTTGATGGCATCGATCACGTTGAAGGCGTCCAGGGTGAGGTTCGGCTTGGCGTCCCTCTCCGCGATGTTGTTCTTGGTTGAGTTGAGCAGCACCGATCCATCGCAACCCTGCACCTCATGTCACTCACAAAGTGAGAAACTGCCACTAGCAGTTAAAGACCCAAGCTAAAGACCCAAGGCCAAGCATTTTAATTTTATTACCCTGACGAAGCAATCATGGAAGTGGAGCCTTAGCAGCGGCGCGGTGACTGTTAGGTCATCTTCCACAGCCATGGTGACGATCCTGCGAACAATGGCCTCGGCGTCGGGGCACGATTGCCTGTAGAACCCGACCTTAAGCTTGCCATAGGCATGGACGGGAGCAATCACTGCCGCCGCCAGCAGCAGCAGCAGCAGAGGAAGTGAAAACCTGAGACCGAGAGGAGGCACCCACCTTGTCATGGTACAACACCAACACTAGAACTAGTGCAAGTCTGCCCTCTAGCTAGCTATAAGCTTGCAGAGCTGCATTGCCATTTGCCAAGGCAACCACATGTGAAAAGTCCTCGTTTTCGTGAGTCGCCGGCGATAAAGGCGGAGTGTGGATGCCATCTCCGAGATCTAAAGGGAGCATTGACTAAGTGCGTCGTTTTTTTCGGCCGTCATGGGCAGCATGATGCCATGTGATTAGCCATGGGTTTCCGGGATCTTACCGGCCTCGGTCAGCACATTGTGGTGCATATATATACGTACTCCTATATGTACTCCACTGCTACTTCGGTTATCGAATAACTTCGCTAGTGACAGCACTGTTACACATATGAATTGAAGTAATTAACTCAACATGTACAATATCATAATCGCGCGCGCCGGTTAGTTGCCGACAACGACCTGTACCGAGGATGCATGCAGACCCCACTGATATATATCCTGCTTTGTTTACGTATGTGCTTACCTATGCTTAAGGTAATACGTAATTAATTAATTTTTACCCTAAAAAATAATTAATTTTAGATAACTGACATTTCCATTCAATTCAATCGATATATCCGGATGATACAACCGTATTGTGCAGTTGTGCGCCCATCTCTTCGTAACATGATGCACATAATCAATACGTCAAAAAAATCATTTTACAAAAAAGTAAAAGAGTTGAGCATAAGATGAAGGAGGTCTCATCCGAACATTATACATCAATGATGGGAAAAAACCTCCTAGTTGTATGCTACCGTCAGGTAGTTGCCATCTTAATGAGGTCCTATCCTTCGGTCTCTGCATGATATACCAAGTACGAAGCCGGTGCATATGTGCATGAATAAACTGCACAGGAGATGGCACACACTTTTTGTTTAAAACCGCATTATTCATGGAAAGCCACGTATCCGACATAAGGTTGTCGCCACCATGAGAATATGTGAAAAAAACCTTGTTATCAATACCCCTCAACCATATGTCGAACATGCATGGGTAAATGTTTGAAGCTACCTTAACTATGTACCACACCGCCAGGCAAAGTTACTTAAAATACAAGTATTTTATAGACTTCTCGTGATGCCAGAAGACACAACTTTTACTACCTTGTCAATTACGACCGTTAGGTTAGTCTCTAATCAAGATCACACCTCGATGAAAAACCAGAGAAATATCTTCATTCTAAGAGTTATTTTGAGATTCCATTTTTTTATCCACGGGGACATCGTTGTGGACAATCGCCTCATTCAAGGACTTGACGTAAAACTTGTCAATTTGGCATGAATTCCACTGAAAATCATTTGGCTCATTCTATAGCTAAATGAGCTCCAAACATGTGGGAGCTCTGGAAGCACCGGAACACCATCGTCTTTGACGGAGCGACTCCATCCGCTACGGCCTGATTGCCAAGGTGGAGAGTGAATGTAGAGCATGGAGTGCAGCTGGCCTCCTCAAAGGTGATCTCGCCACCTTTCTCGGAGGTCTAGCTAGGTGGGCGAGAGTGAGTAGTTAGCAATGTATGTGGCCCTAGGGGTGTGGAATTCTTACATGTAATCTATTGTAAGAATGCTATGTGGATGGGGCTCTTTCTCCTACTCCTTCTTTAATATACGATACGCACACTCGTGCGTATTCTAGAAAAATAGCTCCAAACATGCGAGCAGTTCTTCATCCTATGTTGTGAAGCGACACCCCAATAGATCCTAGCGAAAAGAAAATACCATGATTGGCTTGACCCAGGATGTGCACAATTGTAAAAAAGTTACGTATAACAATCTGATACAACTCGGGTATTGCACCAAAAGTGGGGTGGGCATTCGTCAAGTATCCTCATGGAATCTACCCTCGAAACTGTGACAAAATGCTAAATTGGAAAAATAATAGATTGGAACTCGTCGGGCTAGACAAAAAATGGAAATCATCAGGCTTCCAATGGAGTTGAGAAATGGCTTTAGAACTCAGGTTCTTATTATGAATGATTTCCTGTCACGCCTTGTTTTCAGTAAGGAGTTTATATATTCCTTTCAAAAAGAAGGCAATCGTTATATCTCAAGATCCTTAATTTCTAGACCTCCCCAACCCCCCGAATTTTGGACCGTCACAACATATTCCTCTTAGCCAGCCGATATTTCTTAGTTTCTTTATCACTCCGTGGATCTAAAGTAGTCACCACTACTAGGGAAAACTCTATAGGGAGATAGGTAACAGCAGCGCGGGGTTAGTGGGCAGCGCTACTAATGTGTGCATTAGCAGTAGCGCTGGCCCACCACATCGGTGGTACTACTAGGTGGGCCCCACCATGCCCCCACGGGCTGGCCATAGTAGCAGTGCGGGTCGCGTGCCCTCGCTACTGCTAAGCCCATTAGCAGTAGCGCGGGCCCCGTTACCCGTGTTGCTACTTTGGCCAGCCCGGGCCCAGGTCCTCGGCCCCACTTAGCAGCAACGTTAGCCCGAACCCTGCGCTACAACTAATGGTCTTAGCAGAAGCGGGGGGCCATGCACCGCGTTGCTGTTTGCTACCTCTTGAGCATGCGTTGGTTTTTCCTTGAAGAGGAAAGGGTGATGCAGCAAAGTAGTGTAAGTATTTCCCTCAATTTTTGAGAACCAAGGTATCAATTCAGTAGGAGGCTACACTCAAATCCCTCGTACCCGCATAAACGAATAAGAACCTTACAACCAACGCGATAAATGGGTTGTTAATCCCTTCACGGCCACTTGCAAAAGTGAGATCTGATAGAGATAATAAGATAAATATTTTTGGTATTTTTATGATATAGATTGAAAAGTAAAGATTGCAAAATAAAATAGATCAGAAACTTATATGATGGAAAATAGACCCCGGGGCCATATGTTTCACTAGTGGCTTCTCTCAAGATAACATAAGTATTACGGTGGGTGAACAAGTTACTGTCGAGCAATTGATAGAGAAGTGCATAGTTATGAGAATATCTAGGCATGATCATGTATATAGGCATCACGTCCGCGACAAGTAGATCGAAACGATTCTGCATCTACTACTATTACTCCACACATCGACCGCTATCCAGCATGCATCTAGAGTATTAAGTTCATAAGAACAGAGTAACGCATTAGGCAAGATGACATGATGTAGAGGGATAAACTCAAGCAATATGATATAAACCCCATCTTTTTATCCTCGATGGCAACAATATAATACGTGCCTTGCTGCCCTTGCTGTCACTGGGAAAGGACACCGCAAGATTGAACCCAAAGCTAAGCACTTCTCCCATTGCAAGAAAGATCAATCTAGTAGGCCAAACCAAACTAATAATTCGAAGAGACTTGCAAAGATAACAAATCATACATAAAAGAATTCAGAGGAGATTTAAATATTGTTCATAGATAATCTTGATCATAAATCCACAATTCATCGGATCTCGACAAACACACCGCAAAAAGAATTACATCGAATAGATCTCCAAGAAGATCGAGGAGAACTTTGTATTGAGATCCAAAGAGAGAGAAGAAGCCATCTAGCTAATAATTATGGACCCGAAAGTCTGAGATAAACTACTCACACTTCATCGGAGATGCTATGGTGTTCATGTAGAAGCCCTCCGTGATCGATTCCCTCTCCGGCGGAGCGCCGGGAAAGGCCCCAAGATGAGATCTCACGGGTACAGAAGGTTGTAGTGGAAATAGGGTTTCGTGGTGCTCCTGGAAGTTTTCAGGGTATATGAGTATATATAGGCGAAAGAAGTCGGCCAGGGGAGCCACGAGGGTGGGGGCGTGCCTACCCCCCTAGGAGTGCCTCCCTGTCTCGTGGCCTCCTCGTTTCTTTCTTGACGTCCACTCCAAGTCTCCTAGATTGAGTTTGTTCCAAAAATAACTCTCCTGAAGGTTTCATTCCGTTTGGACTCCGTTTGATATTCCTTTTCTGCGAAACACTGAAATAGGCAAAAAACAACAATTTGGGCTGGGCCTCCGGTTAATAGGTTAGTCCCAAAAATAATATAAAAGTGTATGGTAAAGCCCATTAAACATCCAAAACAGATAATATAATAGCATAGAACAGTAAAAAATTATAGATACGTTGGAGACGTATCAAGCATCCCCAGGCTTAATTCCTGCTCATCCTCGAGTAGGTAAATGATAAAAACAGAATTTTTTATGTGGAATGCTACCTAACATAATTCTCAATGTAATTTTCTTTATTGTGGCATGAATGTTCAGATCCAAAAGATTCAAGATAAAAGTTTAATATTGACATAAAAATAGTAATACTTCAAGCATGCTAACCAAGCAGTTTATGTCTTATCAAAATAACATAGCAAAAGAAAGCTTATCCCTACAAAATCATATAGTTTGGCCATGCTTCATTTTCGTCGCACAAAATGCTCCCATCATGCACAACCCCGGTTTAAGCCTAGCAATTGGTTCATACTTTTTAACGCACTTCAGCCTTTTCAACCCTCACGCAATACATGAGCGTAAGCCATGGACATAGCACTATGGGTGGAGTAGAGTATGATGATAGGGATTATGTGAGAAAACAAAAAAGAAGAAAGTCTCACATTGACGCCACTAATCAACGGGCTATGGAGATGCCCACCAATTGATGTCAATACGAGAAGTAGGGATTACCATGCAACAGATGCACTAGAGCTATAAATGTAGGAAAGCTAATAAAAAAGAAACTAAGTGGGTGTGCATCCAACTTGCTTGCTCACGAAGACCTAGGGCATTTTGAGGAAGCCCATCATTGGAATATACAAGCCAAGTTCTATAATGAAGAAATCCCACTAGCATATGAAAGTAACAACATAGGAGACTCTCTATCATGAAGATCATGGTGCTATTTTGAAGCACAAGTGTGGAAAAAGGATAGTAACATTGTCCATTCTCTCTTTTTCTCTCATTTTTTTTCTTTTTTTTCTTTTTTTATTTGGTCTTCTTTGGCCTCTTTTTTTTATTTGGGCTTCTTTGGCCTCTTTTATTTTTCATAAAGTCCGGAGACTCATCCCGACTTG